GGCTGCTGCCTCCCTGACAGCAAGGCCGCTGAGCACAGCCAGCCGCCCCTGGGCCCCAGGGCTGCCGGATGCCTGGGTCCGGCTCTCTGCCTGGGAGGCAGTGTCCTCTAGTGGTTAGCTAGGCCTATACAGCTAGGTCCTGGTGCCTCCAGGGCCCTTCCTCCCTCACCCCTACCCTGCTCTGCCCAGCGCCCCATGCCAGCCCCGGGGGCCAGTCCAGTCAGGAGGGGGTTTCTAATGATCCTTCATCACCAGCAGCCCTGAGTGTCCCCAGGGCCACTGCCCATCACAAACAAGCCCAGGTAGCCTCCCTCCAGCCCAGCAGATGCTGGATCGGCCTGCCCTCGCAGGCGGGCACACAGCTCACAGGACAGGGGCCCTGCCTGCCCCCCCACCCCACCCCAGCCTGGGTCCAGGAAGCCCACCCTGCCAGGGGCCCACCCAGGACGATGGGCAGATGGTCTGTGACGCAGCCCCAGGAGTCCTGAGAGACGGAGACAGACAGACCCTGTCCAGATGTCTGCATGTGCCCTGCGCCCCTCCACGCATCTCACACTTGCCAAGGGGGCTGCTTGCAGCCCCTTCTGATGGTTCTGTCCACCGGGCCCCTCATTCCTGTGTCTTCTCGCTGACTCCTGCCATCCCCCACACATCTTGGTTCCAGTACCCACTTCCCCAACACCCAGCCCCCAGTAGGCTCCTGTCACCCGGCCTCCCAAGGCTGCCTTCAGAGCCCAAGGCTCCTTGGTGGGAGGGGAGGGACCCAGTTATGTCTGACACCCTCCACCAAATGAACGCTCCCTGAGGGCAAGACTTAGGGCTGCTGTTGTTTCTCCCTTTTTGCCCAGCACTGTGCCTGGCCCATCACTGGGGTTCAACATCTATCCAGTGAATGAATGATTGAAGAATGAATGAATGAACGAACAACCAAGCAGGAAGAGGGAAGGAGAGAGAGAAGGAAAGACAAAAGAGATTCAGGGAGTCAGGGGTGCCAGATTCCCCCTACCCCACCCACCAGCAATGCTGAGAGCCGACCTCCCGTCCTCCCCCCACCCCTCGGCCATGGTCGCAGTCACTGGCCCCAACTCGGAGGGGTGGGAGGGAACACAACTAAGCCCACGGAGGGAGTTTCAACACCCAGGGCTAAGGTGAATCCAGCAACTTCCACAAGGCAAGTCTAGGCCCCCAAATGCTGACATCATCTGCAGAGCTGCTGACCCCAGGGAGCAGCCGGGCTCTGGGGGCCTCGGGCAGCAGTAAACAGGCATCCACTCGCCGCTCAGGCAAACACAGGCCTGCACAAACACAGCCTCTCTCCGAAGAACTCTCTCCACTCCAGCTGCTGCTAGGGAATGCCAGGCTGGGGTGAGAGGTGTGGAGCGTGGCAGGGACACCCTGGGGTCACACTGTCCTTTCCTCTGTCTCCTCCAGCCATCCAGTCCACTCCTCCCAGCTCCAGCCTTCTCAGAGTGACCACCTGGTGGCAGGGGACAGCAGGCAGCTGCCTCATGCCCTGGCAAAGCCAGAGCAAGCCTGAACTGTGTCGCCGGGAAAACGACCTAGGTTCTGGGGAGCAGAACCCCGAAAACCCACCCAGAGGGCTGTGCATCAAGGGGGGCAGCAAGCAAACCTGAGGTCTGAGCCAGCCCCACCCTTCCGGAGCCTTGGCCACCTCTCCTGGGGGCAGCATCCTGGGGCTGCCCCCTCTCCTCCCTGCCACCCCCTTCCACCTGTGTTCAGGACTTCCAGCCTCGTTCACACCCCTCACACTCCCCTTTGTCCACACACACGTGCTCATAGCCCACACCCCCCATGCAGTGAGGGCCCCAAGCAAGAACCCCTCAGTCTGAGCCCTGTTGCTTCTGGACAGTCCTGTCATTCCTGGGGGCCAGGCGCTGGAACCGCCATCCCCGGCCAGCAGGTGGTAAAATCCCAGCAGGAACAGGCTTTGGTGGCCGAGTCAGTCATTCCTGCCCCTCCAAGAAGCTAAAAGTCCTCTCATCCCAGCTGAACCAGGGGTGGGGACCACAGGGGACCCCACATTGCTAGGCATAAACTCTATGCTAGAAGCTTCTAATGGATCACCCCATGGTGGGTACCCACAAGGTGGACACTGCTCTTACCCCACTTTACAGATGAGAATGTCAAAGCCCAATGAGATCTAGTCATTTGCTCAAGGTCAGCAGGTCAGGCAGGGAAACTCCCCTGGAGCCACAAGACCCTAACAATGGGGCACAGGGCTGGCCCAGATAACCCTGCCCAGCCCAGACAGGCCCCATCTCTGGGATGAGGCCATTTCTCAGCCCTAACTGCAGGGCAGCCTGGCTGACTGGGGTGGCAGCTGCCAGCAGGTCCTGAACTCCCAAAGAACACCCAGTGGGGCCATCCATGCCGCAGGGCAGGGCCTTTATCTGCTCACCGCCCCTCCTGAGCCATCTGCCCCTTCCCCTGGCCCAGAGCCTGCCCGGCATCCCCCCAGTGCTGAACTCCCTAGCTCCCTGCCTCTGCTGATGCCTCCAGCCGCCCAACCGAGCAGAGGGGCCTTGCCCGACAGGCCCCAGGGACCATATGCTGCTTTTGACAATTGCCCCTGCACTGGGCTTCTGTGGGCAGTCAGCCAGTTCCAGGCCTGTTTCTCTGTCCTTCGATGCCACCGTTTGAGGTCTGCCTGGAGCTTGGGTCCCTCTCTCAGCTGGCGTGAAAGCGAATTCAGACCCCACCTGCTCACCTTTTGCACACCTCCCTTCCGTGCTCCCCCACATTCAGTGGTGCCCACTTGTTCTCACAGGGTGGAATGGCTGCTGTGTTCTCCTGTGCAGACAAGGACTTGGGGTCCCCAGAGGCTGCAGGCCTGGGGTCACACAGGAGACAATAAAGGCTCGACCACCAGGCATTAGTCTCCACAGAGCCGGGTCTTGAGGGCTCATGACCCCTCCGTAGAGCCTTGACAGCAGGCGAGCCATAGGGGGGCAGCAGCCCTCCCCATCACCTCTTTAGAAACAAGCTGGGTGCATCTTCCAGGGACTTTCGAGGGGAGGCCTCAGAGGAGGTGTGAGGGGGACACAGGGCGGGTTCAGCTGCCAATGAGGATCAGCATCAGGCTAAAGTCCAGCAGCCTGGCTGGGGGCATCTGTCCTTCCCCAACCCTCCAGTGCTTCTGCAGGTGCTGTCAGTCATTAGGGACCCCACCCTTCAGCTCAGGAATGGGACAGCTGTCCAGCTCACCCCATTTTATAACCCAGTCCTGTTCCCTTCAAACTCAGTCTCAGGAGGGGGATTCTGTCAACCACATTTCACCAAGGGAAACTGAGGCAGGACAGCCCTGGAGGGACTTGTAATCAGTAGTGGTGGATGAGGCAGATGGAGGTCTAGGGAAGTCGCTGCTGGCTGCAGCAGCCCAGGGCGTGCCTGGCCTGAGCTCCGGCTGGTGGGGGGTGGGGGGAGCTTTTTACAGAAGTGCCTAGTCTCTGTGTCTGTGCGGTCACAGTGCTGGGGTGAAGGGCCCCACATACCGCCCCCATCCACTCCCCCATCTGCCCTCCTCTCTTTTGCTCTCATACCTGCTCATGGCTGGACCTCCAGCCAGGATGTGACAGGCCCCGGGCTCTTCCTGCCCTCAGACCTATAAGGGCCCCCGGCGCTGCCCACCCAGCTGGGCAGCATCCCCTCCTGGGCACAGGCCCTGGCAGCTCAGGCCATTTCCATTTTAAACTTCTGAGGAAGCCCTGAATAGTCGCCCATGGAATCGGCACCAGCTGACAGGTGATGTTTGCGCTCTCCTCCTGGGGCCGGCAGGAAGAGATGCAGTTGGCTTTCACTCCAGAAACTGGAGCCTGGAACCCTTGAGCACGGCCACCTTCCCAACGGCTGCTGGGCAGAAAGGGGGATGCCCAGCCCACATCCCTCTGCCTGGGGCATCCTGTATCCTGCAGGGCTCTGTGCCCCCACGCAGGCAGCCTCCTCCCTAACCCCTAGACCACCTGGAGAGGGGGACAGGAGAGGCTGGTGTCTGTCCTCCCTTAGGACGCAGGGGCCAGAGTGGGTCAGGTAGGACCTTGCTGCCCCGGACCCCTGCTCCCTGCCTAGGCTTTACTTATTCACATTAGGGCTCTGACTTGGGCCACAGGGGCCTGGCACACCCCAGCTGGGCTGTATTCTCTTAAAACCACGCACCCCAGAGAGCCCTGCAGCGCTCCAGGGCCCCTGGAGGCCTGGGGCAGCCGGCTCCCTGATGTCGCTGCTCCACAACTTTCTCCTCCTCTGAGAGCTCTCATCATCCGCGGCTCCCTGCAGCTGGGCAGCAACGCTCCCCAGCCTTCCGCCCCTCGGCCTCCAGTCCCCGCGAGGAGGGGCGTGCGCCAGGCCTCCGGCTTCGGGTGGAAAGCCCACCGCGCGTCTCCCCAGGCCTCCAGCCCGGCGGTCCCACCGTTCCAGCAGCCAGGTGCACCGCCCCAGCCCCCTGCCCCGCGCAGAGCCGACAGTCCACAGCGCGCACAGGGAGGGAAGTGGGAGGCTGCTCATGGCCCCCTTCAAGTCGTTTAAAAATAAAACCTCTCTCCAACCGTGACTCACGCGGCTGGTGGGGACAGGAGCGCGGCGCCCGGGCCGGCCGGCTGCCTCTCTCCGCTAGCTCCAAGCCCTCCAGCTCCCGGGTGCGGGGCTGGAACCCGCCGGCCCAGTCCCTGGGGGTGCAGCGCGGGTTCGGGCTGGGGCTCCCGCCGAGCCCCCGCCCTTTCCAGCTTCTGCTCTGGAGAGTGGAGCCGCCGGCCGCGCACCCCGCGTCTCTCCGCGGCGGGGCCGGCGCCACCGGCGCTGGGCTGTCGACTCGCGGGCCCCCCACCCCAAACCCCAAAGGCTGCGCGGACCCCGCGGCGCCCGGGCAAAGCCTCGCAACCCGATCCCGCGACGCCTCCGTGCAGTCCCAGCCCTCGCCCCGCTGCCCCCGGCGCCCCGTCCCGCACACGCGGACCCCGGCCCCCGCCCCGTGCATCCTTCCTTACCTGCGCAGCGGCCGGGGAGGCGGGTCTCCTCGGGAAACTTTGCAACGACGGCTGGAGCCTCAGAGGTTATTCCAAGGAGCGGGAGAGAACCGGAGCCGCAGGGCACCCAGGGGGGCCCGGGAGAGGCGCCCCCCGCGCGTGGCGGAGCACGGTGGCGGGCCCGGGGCGGGGGGGCGCGCGGCGGCGCATCTGCCCGGCTCGGGAGCCCGGTGGAACCGCGGGGGGCGTGCGCTGGGGTGCACCCGGCTGCCGGGGTGCGTGCGCCGGTGGGTGCGCTCGGTGGGGCGAGGGCCAGCAGCGGGGCTTGTGCGAGCGGCGGCGGCGAGCAGGGCGCGGGGAACCAGGCTGTGCGGCCGCCTCTCCCCTCGCGGCAGCGGAGGCGGCGGGGGCCGTGCGTGCAGGCGCGGAGCGGAGAGGCGGAGGGGGAGGCGGGGGGCGGGGAGGAGGCGGCGCGGGCGGGGGCGCCGCGCTGCGCACAGGCTGGCGGGACCCGGCGCGGAAGGCTGCGCCGCCGCGCGGGGACTCGGGCCCAGCCCAAGAGAAGCGACGTTCGCGTCCCCCTCCCCCTGCCCTCGGCTAAAATGGCTGGGGGGTTGGAGGAAGGAGGTTGGGGAGCCGGCCTCCCTGGGGGCGAGGAGGGAGGTTCCCTAAGCCAGCCTCCAGCGCCGGGGCGGGGAAAAGAGAAAGGGGTTCTCGCCCAAGCGCTCTCTCCTTACACCCCTCCTCCTGCACCCACTCATTCATCCATCCTTCCAGCTGTCCATTCATTCATTCATCCGTCCACCCGTGCATTCATTCACAAACAGGTAACCACCATCTACTCCGCGTGCCAAGGGAATCCCTTCCACCCTATTTGGCGCCCCTGCCCAAAGAGGACCCCCTCACCTGCCTTGCTCTACACACCAGTCCCTCCCCGTGCAGCGCCCCACCCAACTGCCTAAGGGGGCAGCAGCCAGCAAGCCTCAGCCCCGCCCCTCCCCTCACTAGCCTACAGTGACCTTGAGCAAGTTACTTAACCTCTCCAAATCTCAGTGTCCTCAGTTGTACAATGGGAGCATTAATAACCTACCTCCAAGGATTAGCATGAGAGTCAGAGGAGACTTTGCATGGGAAGGTAGCTGTGGCAGTGACTGGCACACATTAAGAACAAAGGAAATGTCTGCACCTGTTGTGCGTGAGGTCTCATGTTGGAGGTGTGGGGGGATGGACCAGACCTCCCTCCTCTTAGCCTGCAAAGTCCGGGCCCTTGGCGCTCTGGGATACGTCTGCCCACCCTTGATCTGGGCAGACCTTGCCTCTGAGCTCAGTCATCCTGTCCTGCCATCCTTTTCCCTGGAAGGTGCCCTGAGCAAGTCTCTGCCTCTGCCTAGAAACCCCCCAAGACCCCACTGCTGGCAAATCCACACCCAGATCCCTGCAGCCTGGCTGGTACCCCTCCCCCAAGACCCATCCCCACACCTCCCACCCACTGTCCCACCCCCTGCTCTTTGATTTCCTTCAAAGCCTGGCCACCCCTCCTCTGGGATGCCCTCCCGGATTCTTCCTGAGGGAGGTGGCCATGAAAGATACAGGACTCCCTCCCCGACCTCCTGTGCTCTCCAGTCCCTCTTTGCCCCCCACCCAGGAGCTATGGCCTCTGTCCCCGCATGAGCACCCCTGTCTCTGCCCTCCTGGCCTCTCCCTTCCCATTTCCCTCCCTTTAACTCCCTCCTTTCCTTCTCCCACTTTCTACTCAATTCACCAAACAGCTATTTTTTTCCTCCCAATTTTTATTTATTGCCTAAACAGCATTATACCAACCATAAAGAAGAGAAAAATCACCCACAATGCCAATGCCCCGTGGCGTCAACAGCCCCTGTCCCTCTGCTCCCTCTCAGGATTGTCCAGGCCCCCAGATGGACGCGGGGACCCTGGGGTTCTGTCATCCTTCCACGGCAGCACTTACGTTGCTCAGGAGTTCTGTGCGTGTCTTCCTCCTCTTCCACATTGAATCCCTTGAAGAAGGGACCCCTTTCCATCCCTGCTGTCCCCATGCCACACACAAGCCTGGCACAGAGCACGATCTCAGTGCCTCGGAGTGGAATGGATGACATGCATAGAGCTGTATCTGACATGTTGCACTGAGATACCAAGATGTCATCTTCATAATTGTGGTTTTAATGGCTGCATGATATTCCTTCGAGGTGATGTACCACAAGTCGCTCGGCCATGCCTGGTGGCTGCACACATTTCAGGGAATATTTATGCAGGTCCACTATGGTCAAGCACTTTTTGGGCACCAAACACCCAAAGTGAATCAGTCCCTGCTGGACCCCGCCTGGCAAAGCTGGAAATGCAGCTGGAGGGAATGGGAACCTAGACAGTTACGGCTTAGCAGGATCTTGCTGAGACAGACATCATTACCACATGACCCCAGGACATAGGGGCCAGGTCAGCTTTGATATCCAAGGACAGCTTCCAAGGGGAGGTGGCTCTTGATCGGGGTCTTAGAGGATCAGGAGGAATGTTCTGGGCAGATTCTGGAAGCTCATGGCAGCTTGTTCACAGGAGCCGTGACATGGAAGAGCTCAGGGTTTGGAGATGAGGACTTCTTGGTAGAGTTGGGCAGTAGGAGTCAGGGGGGCCATGGTGGCAGATGGGGTGACGGATGTCAGCGAGGCCTGGAGAGTCTAGCCGTTATCTTAGAAGGAGTAGGGTGCCAGGAAGGGAGTGTGAGGACAGCAAGGCCACAGTTGGTGATAAGATTCAGATCACTTGTTCACTCAGCAAACGTTTGCTGAGTCCCTGTGTGTGGTGGGGCCCCCGAGGGCAGGAGTGGGTGGTGAAGGCAGGGGTCCTGGCCCAGGAGGACTGAGCCAGTCTTCGAGCCAGGTGTTCAGTGAGATGCTCTCCGTGTGCGGCAGCACAAGTACCCAGGGACAATTTGTGGCTTCAATCTCGGGCTTGCCCAGCCTCAGCTCTCCTGCGCCCAGGGCGACAGTAAGCCAGGCAGTGTCCTACCCCAGGCAGCCAAGGTCACCCTACAACCCCTGACACTCACCTGCCCTCACAGGAGTCCCCCCACATCTGTATTCCGCGTGTCACCTCACCACTTCCTCGCTGGTGACCACAGGCACCAGCCTAGTCTTCCCCACTCCCAATTTTCTCATCTTAATGGTGCTGTCGCAGACTTCCTAGGGCTAGTGTGGCAGTCTGATGAGGTCCCGACAGGAGAGTGCTTTGTGTACTGTGAAGTGCTGTGACAATGTGAACCATTATTAGACTGTTGTCAACCAAGATTGTGCCACCCTTGGTCCTACTTGGACCTGTTGGGCCAGGGACAGGGGAGGGGTGACCTGATGCAGGCAGGGTCTGTCCCACTGGATGGTAAGTGGGCATCCGCAGGGACCTTTAGCCCCAGGCTCTGTGCTGGGCATCCAGGAATGAAGCCCCCCAGAGCAGGTGTCAAGAGTCAGCACCACTGAAAGGGCTGAGAGCAGATGTTCAGAGGGTATGACCTTGGACTTCAGCTGGCCACATGAGAGTTAGAGGCTCAGCCTCCCCCATAGGCCCCAGATGGGGCATCATGTGAGTGAGGGGTGGACCTCCAGCCCCCCACCTGGAACCAGAGAGCCTCCTAACCTTTCTGCCCCATCTCTGGGTTCTTAGTCTTAGAGATCACTGCCCTTCGAGATCCCCAGGGTCCTCTTTCCAGAGAATGACAGTCACTGAAAACCTGCCCCATCTGGCTCCCAAACCATGGCCCCCTGGTGCTGTCCCCATGCACCCTTCAATGTGTCATGAATCGTGGGCACTGGCCTTTGGGTGGCTGGCTGTGCACTGCTGACCAGGCATACCTGCCCTCACCAGGAAGTCCCAGCACCCTCTCTGCTCCAAGTGGTAACACTACCTTGCTCTCCTTCCCACCATTGTGCCCCAAACCTTTCCATTCTGCGCAGCCCAGAGGACTGGGGCTCTCCCCATAAGCACAAGCTTAGGGTACAGGAGAAGTAGTGCATGGGCCCCAGTGCAGAATGTCAGGCACAGCAGGGAGCAAAGTCCCCTACCTGCAGCCCAGGAGGAAGTCCCAGGTAGAGTGCTTCAGGGAGCAGGCACGGCAGGGACAAAGCCAGGGACAAAGCCGGGTAGAACAAAGTTAGCCGCTCCCAAGGACAGGCCCTGGAAATAGGTGGGGCCACAGTTGCGCAGCTGGCCTGGGGGGCGGGGATGCGCCCACTCAACTGCTCGGCGCTCACCTGCCTCTGGGCACACTTCTGCCCACCCCGGGCTCTAAAATTGGGTTCCTGCTTCTCTACACTCTTCCACCTTTCTGGGCAAAGCCAGCTCCTTCTCACCCCTCAGCTCAGGGCTTGACAGTCTTGCCCTCCGAGGGGCCTCCCCAAGCCCCACCTTTCCTAGTGGGGTTACCTCGTTCTCTCTGATCGCTCAGCTTCTCCTTGATGGCACTTAACTCAGTCTGTGATTATGTGTAATTTGTGTGACTACAGTTTTCTTCTACTGGACAACACTTCACCATCTCAGAAATCAGGGTGTGGCTGGTGGCATGTCTCCCTCCTCCATAGTGCATAAAATAATGGCCAAAACTCAGAGTCCATGGAGTCCATGTTCAGTGATATGTGATTTTTTAGCATCCGTCTCTCCCAGCAGACCGAGAGCACCTTGAGGACACAGCCTGGGCCTGCTGTGGGCCCTGCATGTCCCCAGCACCTGCCAGAGGGTCCCGAGAGCAGTCCTGGAGAGCAGCCAGGCATTGCTGAATGAATGAACAGATACGTTACACGAGCATCAAACTGAAACTGCCCCACAAGGCAGCGGTGGCAGAGCTGCCCCAGCCAGCAGCGATTCCTACAGCTGGGAACTGCCCCGACATGATGTGTCCAGGGGCTCAGAGCAGGGCTAGACATGCTTCCAGCCACTAGGCTGGGGCTGAAGGGGAGGTGAAGGGGGAGACCAGGCCTGAGCTGTGATTCCAAGCCCCTGGGTGGGCAGGGAGAAAGATGCCAGAGAGTCAAAACTGGCCTGGGCAGAGGGCAAGAGCTCCATGCCAGCCTGCCTTCCCGGGCCCTGGCAGGGCTGAGGCTGCTGCCCAGACTTGTCTCTGCTGGGCCCTCCTCTCCCTTGGGAGCCTCCTCTTCTCCCCAGAAATGACATCACCACCCCCCACGCCCATCTCTGCCAAATACCCAGGGCTGCCTCCTCCTCCCCTCCCAGCTCCCTCACCCACTCACCGCTCCCCCCGCCAGGCCATTGTCCCCAGCAGAGGCGATGCTTTTTACCGCGACTTAACATTTCTTGACTCTGGCTATCATTCACCTGTTACACATATCCCAGGTTCAGGGAAGGAGGTGGAAATTGGGT